TTCTTTATTTTTAAGCAATAATAATAATTGATTGGTTAAACCTAATGCCGAATGATTCTTTATTTCATAAAAACCCAAAAATGTTTCTTTAATCTCTATTTGACAAGGTTGAGTATCCTGTTTGCGAATTATATGAACGTATCGAAAAATTAAACTTAATTGTTCTTTTCTAGATACGTCTTGAGTTGTGTCAACTATAATAGAAAAAACGCAGATACATTTATTTCTAATAACAATGTTTTTTCTAAATTTTGGCTTAAACATTGAATCAATTCATTTTGGATAGCTGGGCTAAGATATTTTAAAGTGCCTTTAGGCTTATTGAGTACTTGTTTCATTGTATCGTCGTACTTTGACAGCAAATAAACATGAGACAAATAATTGCCGTTGTAAATTTCATCGCCCATCACTTCACTATGACCTCTAAATGCAAGTGAATTTTTTGTTAACATTAAAGTGATGTTAAATAAACTTTCTAATACCATCTTCCAAAATAAAGCTTTATGACGAATTAATGTCTCTGTATCCTCATTAAGTGTCCTGTTTTGTTTCCAATGATCGTATATTTGACATGCTTCAATATGTTTTAGGTTATTAGCATGATTTTTTCTTTTTTTACCTAGCCCTTTCCAGTCTCTAACTCCCAAACGCCATTGGTTCTTTTTGTCATTTGAAAATAACCAACATGGTTCACAATATGCTGAGTCCAAAATTTCAGAATAGCAAAGCCAAAATTGCTGTTTTTGACCAAATTTATATGCACAATAATAATAATTTGTGGAAAAATGTCTACAATTTTGAGAAGGATCTTTTTTAAATGGTCCTTACGGTTTACATCTTTCAGAGGAAATAATAAATATTTTTGTGCTATCATCAAGAAATTTTCTTTTAAAATACCCCATATCTGTTGTTAACGTATTTAATTCCTGAAATATATTCGGTCCTGGATCAGTTTCTTCAACTTGCATTGCAGTGGTAAGATTGTTTGGATTTGCGAAAATATCTGCATTATTTTCATAATGAGATTCATTATGATCTTCTGAAATTTCAACTTGTTTTAAGTCAATTGAAACAGATAACATTTCTTCTTGTTGGGTTGCTTGAGAAGTAGTAACAACATTGACATTTTTATCTGCAACTACTTCACTAGGTTTCTGTTCTACTGATGAAAAAATAAGAATATCTTTTTATTGTTTTTACTTAATATATCATTAGTCTTCTTTTTTAATTTCCTTTCTCTGGCTACCCAGCCGGCAAATAACGTTTTAAATAACGTTGAACTATCGTTGAAACCCTAACGTTGAATTTACGTTGGTTTAACGTTTAGAATAAAAGTTTTTTTCAACGTTGATTTATCAACGTTAGATTCAAATGTTATATCAACGTTGATTCGACGCAAAAAAATGTTACAATAACATTGAATTTACGTTGATTCAACGTTTAGAATGAAAAATTTTTTCAACGTTGATTTATCAACGTAAATCAACGTTAGGTTCAAACGTTATATCAACGTTAATTCGACTCGAAAAAACGTTACAATAACGTTGAATTTACGTTGATGCAACGTTTGCGGCAAAATGTGAACGTACTATGCGTGTACATTAGTGTTGCTGTGCATTATCAAGGTATATTATGGGTATTAAATCTATTCATAGTCTATACTTATACTATTTAAAACTTTTTTAGTTTAGTTTGGTTAAAATAACTTGGTATGATTAAAAAAGAGATAAAACTTGTTTTATTGAAAAATATATCTAAATATTACATATATTTACATATAATTGAATAAAATCTACACAAATTTCTTCTCTTTTACACCACCTTTTTGAAATAAAGCGTAATTTAGAAAGTCAAACAACATTCCATTAACCGAGGTTTCTTTTGGTCCATTGAATACAATAGAAGTAAATAAAAATATATATATATAAAAAATCAAAAAGGGAAGATTTGAAAAAAATATGAATGGAAAAGTAATAAAACTTATGAAGGTATATCTTTTTCAACGCCATATAGATTATGATATTCTTAAAACATATTTTTCCACTTTTGCCTTTCATATCCGTGGAGGCCATATAATTTTTCGAAAATACTCTGAATTTTTAAAAATATAACTGTTAGTTGGTTATTATTAATTTTTTCAAATAATTAATTTAAATAAAGCAACCTTTTTTCAAAATAAATTAATAATCAAAATATAAAACTTTTCTAGCATTGAAAAGTAATTTTCGGGATAGTTACATATAATTTTTATATGAAAATTTTATGTAGCCATTTATTATTGGTTTAACGTCCATGTTTATACACATATGGAGCTTAGGACAGGGATCAAATAATGTAATTTTTTATGTTAAATAGCATGCATTTGCCAAAGGAATTTTTTACAATTCCATACACTTTAAGGCGTTAACCAGTTTTGCAGACCGAGAACGTGTATTTTGAACATCATACTTTCATCAAGAATTGAAAAAAAGGAGTTTAAATAGCTTTGATCAAATTTTTACCTTTTTAGAGGATAATAGAGGATTTTAGAGGTGGTTTTTAAAAAAAGAGGACTTTAGAGGATTTTAGAGGAGCTGTGTTCACCCTGATTATAAATAAGGTAAGAGTCCAATACTGTTTTTGATTACCTCTGCATAATTTTGTGTATTCCATGTTTAGAATACCCTCCACCAATTAATTATAATTGATTTATCTGTAAAAAACATAAAGTAAATCTAATATTATGTTTGTGGAGATACATTATAGGTGGAGAACAATCCAAACCACACAAGTGGAAACCTGGATGCAAATTTTGCATCCAGGTTTTTAATTTTTGATAACTGAACCTGTAAAATATAACTACTTATTTATAGTATAAATTCTAAAAAAAAAATATTTTTAGGCATAAAAATTGAAATTGATATAATCGAAGCACATAAAATTAATACCTACTTGGTAAATAATCAGGAAATTATCTTTGTTTATGTTTTCTTTTTTGTAAATCAACATTCTAATTATTACATTTTTCTTTTGTAGCTGTGAATTCAAAATTTTCACAACACTGTTTACTTTCTGTGGAATTGAAATAGTTATACGAATAGTTATATATTTTGTATCAACAAAATAACTCTTCTTATCTGTAATATATATATATATATTGTAATATATAGATGGTATTACATCTATATATTACAATTATTATTTTTTAAATAATGTGGTTAGAAGAGTTATTTTGTTGATACAAAACATATAACTACTCGAAGAGAATTTAGTTTTTATTTGTAGAAACTTAAGCCAATTCTTCTCTGCATTTTAGTGCAGTCAATGCTTTGGTACCTGGAAGCCAACAAACAGTTTTATCACTAATCCAATTAGATGGAATTACTTCTACTTGTAAATCTTCATTCCAAACAGCTCCTTTACACGTATTTGATTTTGAAAATATTACATGAATTAATAATAAAATGAAGAAACTATAATATAAGTGTACTAACAGGACTAATTAAACTAGCTAAATCTGAACATTTTATAACCATAATACTTGCTAAACAATAATATTAGTAGACATTATTAGCAAAGATAAGATTTTCTTTATTTTATAAATTTATTATATTTTAAATTCATTTTTATTAATTTAATTATTACTCTATTATTCAGCAGAATTTTTATGAGTCTTTCAATCTAGCAATAGAATGCTTGACATTAAGACTAAGGAAATCACAGAAACAGTCATCCACAACACACTTTAAATCTTTGAAACATGTTATAATAGGTATTAGCTGTTGATAATTATTTAGGAATGCATCTTCTAGATCTTGAAGATTATTCAATATCTTGTTAGAGTTAACTCCATCAAACCCTCCTCCATGATAGCCATGTCTGAGAATGTATTTTCCAGACAGCCACTGATTAAAGTTTGGCCAGAGAGTAAAAATTAGGTCGCTGAGAACATTAATAAAACCCATAAATATATGTAACAATGATGGAGGAATTTTCTTTATCACTTCAACTTCTGGATCTTCACTAAGATGAATAACATTTTCGTATAACATTTTTATACAGCTGTGCTGTTTCTTTTTTTTCTCCTGCTGCTTGATACTATGGAAGATGAAGATCAAGGCTTCCAAACGTTCTTAGAGTTCCTGCATTTATAATCTTCTCACTTTCACAATGTAAACATGCATGGATGCCACCATGGCCAGATAAACCCATAATCATGTTAACCAACATTAAATCCCATGCAATATGAAAACCCAAGCTGTCTAGGTGGATAATATCTAAAATTTGTTTATATTCTGATATGTTTCTGGAACATCTTCAGCAATAGCAAAAAACTTTATACGTTGCACACCAGACCCAATATATTTGTCATATCCTTGACGTTTACTACTGTTTTTTATATTATTACTGTTAACTTTAAGTTCATCTACATCAAAGATGTTAACACATATTTTCAATGAACCTCCTCCATCCACCTCCATCAATTGAAACTCGTACAATGGTATTATAAGGATTTAACCCTCTCTCACTTGTCCATAACAAAATCTGAAGAATCTTTTACAAAAACCAGGTTCCTATCATTCTTTTTATCCCCAACTTCAAATTGCATGGACTGAACACTGTAATAGTTTTTCACAGTTAATTCAAGATCTGACAGTAACTTCATCGCTTCTGACTGGACAACTCTCTTTCCTGTGGCCTTGTTAAGAGTAGAAATCAGTTTTCAAGTTCCTCTGTTTGAAAGATCAAGATTTAGTCGAAGTTGCTTGAATGTTTCAAAAGAGATTTGCTGGATTTAATTTCTGTCTCCTTTGTTCTCAGGATGACCAACTCTTATTATCTGCGATTTTCCGCAGGTGGCTAAATAAAATAGATCACCTGAATTTACTTTTTCTTTGTTCATTTTTTCCTTGATTATTGAAGAAGCCACCTGCTGTGCACTGTGCATACCTTGTTCCAATGCCAATGATATAAGGTTTTTTACAGCAGTTGATTTGCAGCATTTGTGCTCTAAGCCACAACCTAAATAAATATTGTTGATGAAAATTAGACTATACCAATATCATGTAATATTATAAAATCTTCTGTTTATATTACCTATTATGACAGACATATAGAGCAGATCTTTAATGAACTTCTAGAGAGGTAGAAGAGCTCTCATCAATCTCAATTGTAATTATGTCAGACTTGCGCTTCTTAGAAATCCAATCAATCTAAATAATAATTATCCAGAGTTGACATTTGAGCTTTTTATGACAGAATTGACATCTTTATAAATTAGCAGATATTTTAAAATTCTATTTTAACAGATGCAATTAACTTAAAACTAACCTTTTCTATCTTCTGTGTCCATCTAGTTGGTGGTTTCTTTCTTTTTGCAAGCATGTACAAATTAGTTTTGCAATTTCCACATATAGAAGAAGGATAGGCTGCAATTTCTTTCATGTATCCAGAGTATGCATTTGCCTGCACCAGTTTTTCACTAGTATCTTGGACTGCAATAAGACTCTTTTTAGTTTTTGTTTCCCAGCAAACACAACAATAACTATTTATATTCATTTTTTATTTGCTAAAATTATAACAATGCCATGAGTATTATAATACAATTTTGTTAAGATTTAGAAAATTTATTAAACCAATATTTAAATTATTGGCGCATTTCGAGCCAATAACTTAATTAAACAAAAAATTTAAATATATTTCTACATTTTATGCTAGATTTAAATTTTATATAAAAAATTTGGCAAGTGGAGGGTCAAGGCCCCTTTGCCCTCTAATGAATAATATTTTCAATAGGATTTTGGCCCCCCCTCCAGTCTAAAAAAAGCACCCTTGAATTTTTAAAATTTTTAATTTGTAATATTCTAATATATATCTCTTTGATGGCATATTTTTTTTTTTAAGTTGGATAAAGTTCAACCTGTGGGTCCGTTTATGACACAGTGAATTCAAGCATAATCTGGATATTCTCTTTGTTTATGTTTTTTTTTTTCAAAATCAACATCCTCATTTTTTCTTTTTTCCTCAGTCATTGTGAATTTAAAATTTTCACATTAATATTTGTTTTCTATGGAAATGAAATAGTTATAAAAAAATCGTCTTTTTAGTTTATTATTTAGATTAAAAAAAAATAATTAAGAAATAGATGTTGTACATGAAGAGAACTTAACTTTTATTAGCAGAAACTTCAGCCAATTTTTACCAGGATTTTGACGACACTTCATTGCATTCAAAGGTTTGGTATCTGGTGGCCAGTAAACAGTTTTGCCATCTACCCAATTAAAAGGGATCACACCTTCCTCTTCTTGTAAATCTTCTTTCCAAACAGCTTATATATATAACTTTAACATATATAATATAACATATATAACTATAACATATATAACTTTAGTAATATCTTATAATAATGTTAACAAATAATAAAATAAGGAAACCATAATATAAAAACTATTTGAAAACATTATATTATAATACCTGGACTATTGTTAAAGGGAAAACTAGACTTTTTACAACTTTGACTCTTGTTAAATAATGATTTTAGGTGTTATTAGTGGTAATGAGATTCCTTTTTTTATTATTAAATAGACTTTTTTTATTATGCAGAATTCTCTCTTGAAAATTTATAACTAAATAGCAAGAGTCCTTGTTCAGGTTTTAAAAAAATCAATACCAATCATATCGAAAACTGTTAAAGCAATTGTACTTATTTTAATTTTAGTATTATATATATAAGAACACAAGGTTTAGAATAAAAGAGAAAACTCTGTACATTAAGAATAGGATTGCAATAACCCATGTTGCTGAAACATATATATTAAAAATAAAGTAAGACAAAATACTTCAACATAAATAAATAGTAATCATCAGAAATACAATAGCAAAGTATATTACAAGATATCACACAATCTGAATGTTCTCTCATTACAAAAGAATATTTGCTTAAAAAGAAACATTTAACCTTTTTTTATATTTAATGTCTAATAGTAATACTATTACTTTGGTTTTGAAATTAGTATACTAAAAGCTGTTTCTGGATCAAACAAAGATTATTTAGTTTTTATAAATGAAAAAAAAATTATTTAGTTTTTATAAATGAAACAATACTTATTGATGTAAATATTAATGGTTTACCTTTATTTAGGTCTAAATTAATACTAATACCTTGGTGGTCAATACTAATAGTATTGACCACCACACTTGCTTTTAACAGTAGCTGATTTTGGAGTCTTCAGATTTTGGAGATGTCAGACTCCAAGCTAAAACTCTTTTACATATCAACGTGAACAGCAGTGCTCTATTGCCCATTTCACCAGTGTATAATTAAGTGAAATATGGTTTTTTTTCAATTTCTTCTGAGAAAAACACAGAGTCATCGTTATCACTTTGAGACAAATAATAACAAAGATATTCTTCACTTTCATAATCGCTATCCAAATTTTTGTTTTCTTCTACTTGAATCAAGTAGAAGAATATATATATATATATATATATATATATATATATATATATATATAGCTAAATATTTTTGAATAAATAATAGACTTAACTCGTATTTATTCTTCAGTTTGTATTTTGAGTTGTATTCAAGATCTCAGTAATTAATTGATATGAATATTTAAATCGCCAGAATAAAATTGCAAGATTTAACAAGCAGTTATAAAATACATGTTTTTTTTTTTTATATAAACATAACGTTTATAAGCATATGGAGGCTCAGATTTGGAAAAAAAAAAGCATATGTAAGCATATTCCTGAGCCTCAATAAACCATTTAAAAAATTCAAATTTTATTTATTTTATTATTTCATTTATTTCAAATTTTATTTATTTTATTATTTTATTGATAAAATTTGTATATAGTATATATTTTTAATTTTTATTATACTGTACTGTGTTTTTTATTTTTCTTATAAGCATTAACGTTTAGTAACGCACGCATTTTTAGAAAGTATTGAAATAAGCATTCTAAATATAATTCTTTTTTATTTTTTTTATTTTTTTATTTTTGCCGTTTAATATTACAATAACTAAATATATTTTACAATTTTTTACATTAGTAACGACAGGACTTCTACACCTTTTCAAGATGTAAATGAGAACATGAAAGTTGTAATTAAGAAGTCGTAATATGTAATTAAGAAACACAACATGTAATTGAGAAAACGTTATATGTAATTGAGAAACACAACATGTAAATAAGAAGTCGTAACATGTAATTAAGAAACACAACATGTAATTGAGAAAACGTAAGATATAATTGAGAAATCATAATATATAATTGAGAAATCGTAACTTGTAATTGAGAACACATAAATTAAAATAGCAAATTCACAGTCTAAGTTTGTAGGTTGTTACAAAAGGTCTTTTTGGACATGAATTTAAGTTATAATCTTAAATTTTGCTTTTGTATGCACAAGTAATAATAATGGAATTGAAAGATCGTTGTGTTATACACTATGACCCGAAAGTCTGTGATTAAGCTAAATCCGTGTCAACATTCATGTCACCAAATTTGTTTACGTCCAGTTCTGGAACAACCAGATTCAAGTTGTCCGATTTGTCGGCATGAAATACACACAACTGAACAAGTTGAAAGGAAACGTTACGTTTTATCTTCTCCAAATGACAGGAGAAGAGTTGTTGAATGTGCAGAGCGATTTGAAGATTGGGTGAATCTCGCGCAAACGCTAGGTATCAAATATAAGACAGCATACAATTGGGTTCGCAGCGGAAATTCAAATTTCATCGGAAAAAGAGGTTTTAAACCGAAAAAGTTGACCGAAGATCAAATCGAAGAAACATTAACATGGATTGAAAATGATTGTCAATTAACATTGGTGGCCATCAAAACAAAGATATTAAGACAATTTAACATAAACGTTAGCACAACAACAATAGCAAATTACCTCGAAGGCAGATTGTTCTCATTGAAAAAAGTGCACAAGGAGCCTTCTACAATGAACAGTTATGAAAAGAAACAAAAAAGAGCTGAATATGTTAGAAACATCAACGAACATATCACAAATGGTCGTCAGATAGTTTGGTTGGATGAAACAAATTTTAACCTTTTTTGTAGAAAAACGCAAGGAAATAATGAAAGTACCTGCTTCAAAAGGTTTAAACATACACTTGATTGCAGCTATTTCAACTACAAATGTCGTCATGATAGAAACTCGCAGGGGATCATTTAAAGCAGATTCCTGTAACGAGTGGATGTTGACTATGTTTCACCAGTGGGTTACATCCGGGAATCGTTTGGAGGATTTGGTCGTCGTAACAGATAATGCTCCTTGTCACGCTCGTTTGCGAAGGGTGTTTAATAATTCACCAGCTCAGTTGTTACGTTTGGGACCTTACAGTCCAATGTTGAACCCGGTGGAAACGATCTGGTCCAAAATTAAAAGTAACGTTAAAAATGCAATTCGCATTCCACCTGTATTAGGTGACGGGATTGCGGAACAGCGCATGCAGTACTTAGAACGAATTGTAATTGAGGCGAAAAATACTATAATGGGAGGAGATTGTGCATGTGCGGTACAACACACAACCACGCACTATGCAACTATTTTAAATATGGAAGACGTACAAGTTGGTGCTTAAATGATCAATGAAGTGATTTTTAATTATATAATTTTTAATTATAATTTTTAATTGAATTATAAATTTTTCCCTAAAATGTTTTTAGTGTTTATTATGTTAACTTCATTTGCCCAAAAATTATAAATTTTTCCCTAAATTTTTCCCTAAAAAATTAAATTTACGCTACAAATCTTGCGTCATTTTTAAGTGCGTCATTTTATACGCTCCATTTTTTTACGCGCCATTTTTTTTAAGCGCCATTTGACACTCCTTTAAAGCGATTTAAATTGTAATTAAGAAATAGAAAGATGTAATTGAGAACACGAAAATTAAAATTTTCGTGTTCTCAATTACATCTTTCTATTTCTTAATTACAACTTGCATTTTCTCAATTACATGTTACGATTCTTAATTACAATTTTCGTTTTCTAAATTACATCTTATGTTTCTTAATTACAACTTACGTTTTCTCAATTACATCTTACGTTTCTTAATTACAACTTTTGTTTTCTCAATTACATCTTACGATTCTTAATTACAATTTTTGTTTTCTCAATTACATCTTGAAAAAGTGTAGAAGATCATGAGGATCTAGTCATGAAGCCCTTTACAATATATGGTTAACTTTTAATAAAAATACAATGTCTGTAGTGAAATAATAATACACCTCTATGCAAAAATATTTAAAAACCAAGATAAAAAGCCAAGATAAAATTTTAAACCAAATAATATACAAAATAAAACAACAACAAAAACAAAACAAAAAAAAAAGGCAATTAAAAATAAATCAAGATATTTTTTAATTAAAAATATAATTTTTTTAAGTTTCTGTTTGAATGAAGCAAAAGCCATTTGGGTTGAAAAATCAAAATTTGGTCTTTGCTTTTACGACAAAAAGGGGCTATAAGACTGTTATTAATTCGAAAATTATATTTGTTTTTAGGTTTCATACAATAAAAATTTTGTAATACATTTGGCGACAAATTT